GTTGTTAAAATATTATCATATTACCAAAATAAAACCCCTCTGAATTTTATTTTGTAAAGTTATGCCTGTAAAGAAATTATGTATCATGGTTTGTATTTTTTATTGTATGCAAATACCATGTGAGTTTGAGTAAATCAAACAATATCAGCTTTATTTATACATCAGCTTAATGCAAGTGTTTAATACACTAAATTAAAAAAATGTAGGGGGAAATACAGCAAAGATTGCGAAGTGAGTAAAAAAAGGAAAAGAGGGGTCTAGTGACCTGGGAATAAATGTGAATGTTTTGCATAATACAGTAATTCAGTTTACTTAAGATAGCTTTTTAAAAGACGTGACAGTGTTTATACATTTGTATCTGTCCTCTAATTTCTAAAAATGTCAAATTTGAATTGATCACTCCATCATTTTAAGTCCAGTTCACATATCCTGTGCCACACCTCAGGCTTTTCTTCCTATTTCCCTCCCTTAAGAATGGCTTCTTGACAGCCTTTTCACACTGAAACCATTTCTGATGACGCTTCAGTGAACAGTAAATGAATCAGCTGAAGGTTCAGGTATCAGGTCTTTGCTAGATTTTGCCTAATTTTTAAGCAACTTTCAGAATGAAACATCTATTATTTATCTATCTTCATTTAAGCCTGCTGCTTCTTCTTTTGTGCTCCACTTCTCCTGTCTTATCGGATGTTTTAAGGACACACTGGACATCATGCTGAGATAATCACCTTGGTAATGGATAAATATAATTTTATATCTGTCAAACTGCTTTTTGTTTTTGTAGATTCAACTAAAGAAATGTGAACAAATCATGTTTTTTGTTGTTGTTTAAAATGTAAAAATATAAAATTGGTTCTCTTCTAACTTGTCTGCTCTTGAGTTAAGTGCCTTTTTAATATTTGAATGATTCAAAGATCAGTGTGCAGTCGGTTAACAATCAACAACAACGCTCCTGTAAACATGGCCCCATACAAAACTGAAACGAAAGAAAAAGCAGCCAAAGACCTTTGAAAGACCCACAAAAAGCCCGGATACCTGGTGCTCAAGAGCACTTTAAAAATAATGAGAAGGTCCGACTGCTTGTGCAAAATCAAACGAAATCAAGGGTGGCTCAAAATTCTTGCACAGCACTGTATTTATCTACCAATTAATCGAGTTAATATTTTTGTAATGTAAACAGCACGGCACCGCTGTCTTCCTCGCAGGCCGCACTAAACAAACAACACCAGGTCTCCGAGGGTCACGACGACAACATGAGCGCGCTGGTTGGCCGCGCGGTTGTGACGCATGGGCGCTTGTCGTGTCACGTGACTGCAGCCTGTAACGGGGAGGAGGTCTGCAGCTGTCTGGATGTACTCAGGCTGCAGAGAATCGAAACTTATCCGAGGAGAGGGAAGTGTCGGGCGGTCACAAACGAAACCTCCTCGGGGTTTGCTCCTGTCAAAGTCTCTCCGTC